AAGGAAAAGAAAATCGAGAAAGAATAATATTGAAAAATCAAAGAAATGAGATAAAGTTTTAAAAGAATTAAGAAAAAAGTGATTTTTGATGAAGCTTTAAAAGCAACAGCGGACATTGAAAATCAGATTAATAATTTAATGAAAAGCGTTAATAAATTAATAATTTTATAAGATAATGTTTCATATCACGTTAATAAAAAGAAAAGTTGTATGTTTGAGAGTATAAACACAACTTCCTTAAAGATGCAATAAAGGCAAGTTACTAATAAGAAACTTGGATTTAATGTCTACTATTATAAAACAGAATAAAGCAGAGAAATTATCGTATATGTGTTGAACATTTATTTAATGTATTTGAAGCAATAATATTGTTCTAAATTTGTTTACGTTTTAATTTATATGTCATACAGAATCCTAACTCGAAACAAAACAAATAATACAAAACAAAACATATAATATTGCGTAACTTAAGAAAAATTAATCAATCTAGAAAAACCAGGATTTTTATCTGAAAATCCTCAAGTTATCTTCAAACTGATTAGCCACATATCGCAGGGCATTCTGATTAGATTCGTTACGTTTAACCGCGAATTGATAATGACAGAAATAATCTATACACATATAGATTACTGTTACAGTGCATATTTTTATACTCTTTCTTTTCCTTTAAAAGAAATAAAAATTGTACATAATTCATACTTCTATCCCATCGCCTGTAATTCTCTCCACGCAAAGGCTCGATGAGTCAGCCTCGGCGAGCCGATCAGGCCGGAAATCGATATCAAGCAAATCGACGGATTCAAGCTTTCTCTACAGGCGGCCGACGCAAGCAGCTTCCTTCTTCTGCTTTAATGTTAAAGCCTTCAGAACCATCGGAGCATTATTGAGCGTAGGGCGAGCGAGAGAGGCGCGCGCGCGTGGAAGGATGGTCGGGTGCTTACCTTACCCATAGCACCCACGCGGATCGAATCCAATTCGTCGGCACGCGTCCAGATACCCGCGGAAGGTCACAGACGCCTGCAGCCCTTTCCCTCTCCCTCTTTACCACATCGTGTTCTGCATTAACCCTCTCTCTGTCCCATTTCCTACCCTCAACCCGTCCTTCACCCTCTCGAGATAGAGCGCGCGCGCGCGCGCGCGCTTAAAGCGCGCGATAAAGCTGTGGTGGCAGCGCGGCGGCCGACAGCCGCCCAAAGGAATGGAAGGCCGACCTACGCCTGGCACAGTCGTCTGATAGGCTGTCGTCCCCTCCTGCCAGGGTGAAAGAGAACAAACCAGCGAGCCGAGTTAAGCCGAGCTGAGCCGAGCCGAGCGCGATGAACGGGGCGAGGCCGAGGACGGGCTTCGTGTAATGTAAACGGCAAGGGCCAAGGCCGTATTACTCGATGGCACGTTTTGCCATCCTCCTGTGCGCGTCTTTCGCTTCAAACTCTTTACAACCGCAACTTGATGTCGCGTATGTAACTGTATATGGAGTGCCCACGACAACGTGGGCGGGTTTGGCAAAATCTTATTAAATTCAAATTGATTTTTCCTTTATTGGACATTTAATTGGATCTATCTATTTATCTCTAGGAAATTCTAGAAATCTTTAACGTCTAATTTTCAACGCCTTGCTATTGTATAATTATGCTTCAAGAATTTGTCTAAGCTTATCTAAAATTGCCTATAGATTAAAAGACTATTATATATATTTTTGAATCGATTATAAACATTCATATTCTTATTCTGATATAATTTCAAAAAATGAATAGTTTTACTGTTTACTTTAAATCAATATTCAATATTCCTAAACTTTTTGTATATGGAGAATAAAACTTGAAATTAAATCTAGTTATTTTTTTGCCTCATTGATAATTTATGTTATTCTGGTGAATCAATAGATAACATTGTACTTGTAATACATTTTAATTAATAATTCAGTACGTTGCAACCTAGATTAATAGGTTGTTTATGTTTCAAGCTTTCTAGGATTAATCAATATTGTAAATACTATTAATATTAATAATTTTTTTTGTACCTTATTACTTTTAAATCTTTTACATAGCTATAGAATAAGTCATAAATCCATTCTAAAATTATATATTCTTGATAAAAAAGAAAAATAAGCATTTCTAAGAAGAAAAACAAGCATTTCTTAGATTGAAAATATTCTGTTATCGAAATAATGAATATAAATGCAATAGTATCAAATAACGACTGTATTTAAAAGTTTCAAGTATTTTTTGTTTCAAGAGATGTTTAAAAAGTCTTCTACTTTCCATACACAAAATAGAGAATCTAATCTGATATCATCATAATTATTTCAAGTTTATCTATGTATATTGTTTCGATAACAATCTAACGTTCGAAATTTAAAAAACGTACTTATGATTCATTTTATATATTTTAATATTCCATTCTTTACTTTTTCTTATGCATGTAAATAATACATAAATTAACATCATTGTTTATTTCAGTTTTCAAGGAAGAAAAGCACAATGGAATTATTTCCATTTGAAAAATTCATTTCTAATCTAAACAAAAACTTTTCTCTTTTTTTCCTACATACTTTCATTCTTCTATCCATATTAATGTATATTAATTCGTTTTATAATAGCTACGATAATTATTGCAATGTAATCCTGACTTCTTTTTAATATCCTTTATATTCGATATTGCACAGACTATTATAAGTGTATTAATGTTTCCACGAAGCTCGGATTCCGCGAGACGGAGAGGTCATTGTTTTGTCGTACATCTGGGAAATCGTTAGTGAGCCTAGTATTACGTACACTGCCCAGACTTGGGCATATTACGACGAATATATCGATATATCATTACATCATAACATAATACGTAGACTTATCAATTGAAGACAGGTACCACGATAAGAATTATACTGTTTACAAATTTCTATCCCTGTCTCACGGTGAATCTCTCAAGTAACGTCATGCTTCGAATATATCACAATTGAATGTTGCAATCGCGAGAAGCAACGGATATGTTCGGCAACGAGTGTGACGGAAGAGTTCATTACATAGCCATATGTACGTATATATACATATATACGCGGTAAATAGATAACAGGAGGAAAGTGGCGATATTGATTCGATCGTGAGAGAGACAGGAGATAGAGAGGGAAGTAGCCTAACAAATGTGGGGGTGGTACGGAACCGTCTGTGTTCGGCCCTGTTGGCGAACAGCACAGCACGTGCACGGCAGTGTGCGTGTATGTCGGATCTTTTCTCTCTCTCTCTCCCTCCCCCTCTTACGCGCGCCTACGCACGCGTGAGAGAGCGCGCGCGTATAACGTGCGGTGGCCCATTCCACCACCGAAGCCACTCCGCCGCTTCAACGACGGCTCAGTCAGCACCGACCCCCGACCCAACCTCTACCTCTACCCACGCCTAGTTAATGGAAACATCTTTTGTCAATGAACTGACGTCAGTCCGCGCGGCGATTGGCCGGCCGCGCGGGCTCACGTGACCGCCGGCGAATCGCGTTGCACGGAGGCCGCGTCTCGCCCCTGCGCGCGACGTACCGAGCGCCCGTTGCTCCATTCTTCGACGAACGAACGGTCGCGGTAAGGTGTGGCCTGCAGCGAGTGAGCGCGATAAGACCAAGGTAGAATTGTGAAAATCAGAAGAAAATTCCAGAACGAGAGCGAAGGACGAGGGCAGAATACGGGGAGAGGAAAGCGAGAAGAGAATTTCGTGACAACTTTGAGTTGTCGAGAAGCTCCGTGTCTTCTTGGCCGAGGGAATTCGTCGACGGAATTGAGGAATTTCTTATCTGGAATTTTCGTAAGGAGTGAAGGAGTGAAAAAAAAAGAGAGGAACGAGTGGAGGAACGTCGACACCGAGAAGATCGTGCCGATCCGATCCGATCGGACGGATACGGAAACGCGGTAGAGTTGTCGCGTACGCGGTCCAGCGTGTGCGCGGCGGCGAACCTACGGTCTGAAGGTGGGGGCGAATGAGCGCGGCGAGACGAGGCACGACGGTGGGAGTGAAGTGCGCGACAAGGATGGAACGATCGGTGCTCGCGCGCGCCGAGAGGACGATGGGGGCGAGCTCACGGAGGGTCGGTGAGCGCGAGATAGAGTGAGCGCGTCGGTCGTGTACGGTCGGACATGCATCTCCCGCACGGCGAGCGTAAACATTCCACAGCCGTGCCGTTAATTGGACGCGTCGTCTTGATTCACGAGGAGATCGATAACCGAGACAAGCTGGCGGTGGCAGCGACGACGAAGACGACGAAGACGACGAAGACGACGGCGGCGGTTACAGTGGCGGCTGCGGTGGTGGTGGTGGTGGTGATGGTAGTGGTGGTGGCGGCAACAGCGGTGGGGAAGCAAGAGGTGAAGACGGAGTAACATACGCAGCGCGGCGTAGTATCGCAGGAAATGATGGCAACGCGTGAGAACCCGTCGGATCGCGCCGTCGACGGGTGAACGTCGCGCGATCGTTCTCCCGGATGACGCATCCGGGGAACGTGTGCTCCGTCACTCAACTCCAAGTGCCATTTCGTATATATCCATATCCAGTAATTATTAGTCGCAGGAGAGACGCTCGTAGGAACGCGCGTGCACGCATTCACTACGGACACACGCTTCGTTCATTCGCTTTCATTGTGGAGAACGCGCGACAGGGCTGACGACTCGCTGGGCTCCGACGGGCAACCCAGGAGTCGACGGTATTCATGCTAGCCAGTACGTGCAAGTTTCTTTAAGTGACGACCAGTGACGACCAAGCAAGAATCATTGTAATTATCGTCTTAATTAACAACAACTTTTGACAATTCTGTTGTTTACTCTGTTGTTTGCCGAAGGTGCCGTGTCCAATAATGACGGCACTTCGACGCTGCAGAAGCTCAAGAATATCTTTGTAGCGAAAGCTCAGTGACTGATCAGCTGAAGGAAATATTTATGTACGGAAGCTGTTTTGCAGGACAAATCAGCGCCGTTTGTTTAGAAGACATATAAATACAACAAATTATAAGAGTGTGCTAGAATACAAGTGTAAAGACTCAAGATGCCTGATAGTGCAATGGAAGAGGATCTTTTGGGTCCAGAATGGTTGTTCGGGGAGTTGAGATCACAGGATGGTTCCAACAAACTTCTTATTCTGGACTGTAGAGCACACTCGGACTTCTCTGATGCTCATATAAGAGGTTCGGTACCTCTGACTATACCCAGTATCATGTTGCGAAGATTGGCTGCTGGTAAAGTGGACCTCTTGTCCACAATACGGTGCTTAGATCTGAGAAACAGAGTGGAGATGTTTCTGTGTGGAGATGAAAACAGAAGAGGGACATTTGTACTAATCGGTGACACTACAGATTCTGGAGGTCATCAGGGTGAAACATTACAAGTTTTGACCCGGAGACTTAAAAGCAGTGGAGGAAACGTTGCCTCTTTAATCGGTGAGAGATCAATCTTTATCCCATATTCTCTCTAAGCCACTGTAATTCCATTTTCATTAAGATCACACAAAGTTTGATATTTTAAACATATGATATTCTAACACATGATGCATCAAGTTTTTATACACAAACATATGATATTCTAACACATGATGCATCAAGTTTTTATACACAAACATATGATATTCTAACACATGATGCATCAAGTTTTTATACACAAACATATGATATTCTAACACATGATGCATCAAGTTTTTATATTTCAAATTAGAAACAATCTTTATTTCATATACTAATCCATTATAATTCCATTTCCATTAAGATCACAAAGTCTGCTTAATGTATTTTTAATGCATTAAGCATTAATTTTATATTCAAAACTAGAATACTTCCATCTTTTTTCTAAGTGATGTATTGTGCGTAAATGTGAATTGAAAACTTGCAAAAAGTATGATATAATAAAAAGTATGATATAAATTATTATTTGTGACAATATTTTAGAAACTTTTATGTAACTAATATATTATTTTAACAAACATTTCTAAATTTAATTATTAAACATCATACAATAGTTGCTAATTATAATTCTGCATTCATATCATTTTATTGTCACATATATGTGCACAAGCAACATCAGTAATTGTAGTACAGAAAGGCTTTCAGATGTAACAGTCAAAGCATAGAGACTGGTTGTGAATGAAATATTGATTTATGTGGGAGGCATTCCAGTAGAACCAGACACTTAATTCTATAGCCAGCTTTTATCTGGCTTTAGATAAAACTGTTCACTCATTCAATGTTTTGTTTGACATGAGAAATTTACTGATTGCAAATGTATTAATACATACATTGAATGCAAAATAGAATATTGCTTACTTATTTCAAGCTTTGTTTTAGAACCTAACAAATATTTTAAGAAAATGCATATATTAAAGGATATGAATATGTTTGTGTGATTATTAATTTTCCCTGAGTGTTATTGTATGTGCAAAATTTTTTTAGTTTTTAACTTACAATTAATTAATGATGAGTTTATTGCAAATTTTGGCAAAATTTATTTTTAATTTAAAAATATTGATACTTTTTCTAATCATATAGAATAAAATTTCATTTTTTAATTATTTAATTAATAGATTTAATTAAATAGATTTTAATTTACTCTTAATTTACTCTTAGTTATATTATCACATTATACTTGTATCTTTATAGGTGGTTTTGAAGCATTTAAAGATAAATATCCAGAGTGGTGCGAAGGTAGTCAAGCCACTAATGAATGTGATCCAGGTCAGGACAATAACGATGGTGAATTAATGGGCCTTAGATCCCTTCGGATATCCACTCCACCAACCAGGTCTTACTCAGATTCTGACAGTGACAGCACATGTGATTCAATTGGTGAGCAGATATTCCAAGTGTATATTTTCACTGTACGTTTAAAAAGAAACATGCAACAGCAATTTATATTAATGAACAACAATGTACATACATAAATAATATAATGTTGTAATGTAATAATAGAGAAAATAATAGTAGAAAATGTGATGTAATAATAATAATAATAATAAGAAACTCGTTTTTCTGCATTCCAGGTCCGGAAGAAGATAAAGACTTTCCGGTGGAAATATTACCTCATTTGTATCTCGGTAACGCGGCCAATAGTGAAGATCGCGAGGCTTTAGCGCGGCACAGGATACAGTACATACTCAATGTGACACCGGATTTGCCAAATGTGTTTGAAAGCGGCGGTTCAATAAAGTACATGCAGATACCGATAAGCGATCACTGGAGTCAGAACTTGGCTAGTTTCTTCCCACAGGCGATTCAGTTTATAGGTGAGTGACGAAGCATATTGTTATTGAAAACTAAATTCAAGCAAGAGATAAAAGTATTTTTTTATTGTAGTTAATTTTAGGATTTAAAAACTTTGATTTATACTGCTTTAAAAATTGCTCTTTGTAAACATGTTTGTAATTTAATAAATAGTGTATTTTTTTCAAAAACTCATTGTATGAAACGTACACAAAAAACGAAGCATTTTCGTTACAATCAAAAAATTATCAGTTATTGATTAATATCTCATACTCTTACTTTATTTTCAATGAACGTTTCGTCATTCACACATCTGCCTTATACTGTAAAAATTATACTAATTACCTATATCAGTGATACATAATATCTACAATTTAAATAAAATATTTTGTGTACTATATGTTGACAGATTTTCTTAATATAAAGTATTTAATTTATAATTTACATTTCGTATTATTTTGACATACATACATGAGAAGTAGGTGAGATTTATTTATTGCATCGGAACTTTTTTCGCGTCAAAATCTTGTTCGGACTGCTTCTTAAACAGGATTTCCTGTTTAAGAAGGTCCCCGCGCAGCTTCTGAAAGGGGCATTCTTATAAATAGGTTCGCCTAAATAGAAACTTTCCCACGTGGCGGGTAAGCCGCGCTAGACAATTAAACAACGGATGTCCGGTTAGCCGAGAGCTATATTTACGTCTGAATGACGAGATTTGACATTGCTATTGAGCCGGTCTGGCATTTTTGACTATCCCGACATATTGCAGTGTCGATGATCCGACTTCCCTTTGTTAATTCCATTTAAACGAATTGGTCATGATATGCACTGTTTTCTGTAGTATTTTTATCACACTTTTCTAATTAATGAACATTGAATATATCGAAGAATAATAACGAAATTGTAAAAAAACACTAATTAATATCTTCTATTTGTATAATCTTTAGTGTGTTGTATAATCTCTTATTTATCTTATTATTAGATAATAAAACTCTTAACCAATGATATTATATCTTAATGTTTAACGATATTAAGATTAAAGTATATTTTTCAATTTTTCTAATATCAATTAATTGTAAAATTCGATTTTCATATTTTGAAGTTTCATTGTAAAATAATTTTATGTCTTGCATATTTCATAATTTCGTGTAATTAAAAAAATTCTTGAAATATAAATATACATATAAATATTAAATATCGGCGTAATAATAAGTAAGATGATGATTGTAAAATTGTAAGATTAAAATCGCTATTTATTACGTATTTTTCAGAGGAGGCTCGGAATTCAGATAAGGGAGTGCTGGTACATTGTTTGGCCGGAGTTTCTCGGTCTGTCACGATCACCGTGGCTTATCTTATGCACAAGTGCAGCCTCAGTCTGAATGATGCTTTCAACCTAGTACGTAGTAGAAAGTCCAATGTTGCACCGAATTTTCACTTTATGGAACAGTTACACAGCTTCGAGCAAGAATTGAGGGACCGAGGGGGAGAAAACAAGAATAATGACCAAAGGTGCATCGGGGCATGCCGACCCAATGGGCCCTGCAATTGTCCAGCGCCCAGTTTCCTGAGTCCCATTGATCTGGGACTCAGTCCCGACTCAGGAATCGAGTTTGACAGATGGGCGGCAAGTACACCGGCCGAATGAAACGAACTTGGGGGTACCCAATACAAATTTTAGGTCTCCGTCACGTATTATCAGGGAAATCCTGATCGAACGTTATGATAACGCGCTTTATCATTTTTGATATGTGAGACGCATTAAAGTCCGCCCTTCGCGGTATCTCCAGATGAAATGGGATATTAGTCGCGTTCGGCGAGCGCTGAGACGTAGCTGTTAGAGGCATCCGAAGTTAGTTATCGCGCCGATATCTCGTGATTTCTCGATTTTTGCCTTTCGAGCCTCTCATTCCTAGCGTAACTATTGTGGCTATGTTTATTAAAGATACATAAAGCATTTGAAACTCTGATTTTGATTATTTGAATTTTAAAATTAAATTTTAAAAAGATTATAATTTCTAAAGACACTCATGCAAGTAGTGTCTTTAGTATCGTACTATTCATGCAATATTCGACGTTATATACAAGAAAATAAACTTGTCTAAATTCAGAAATAATTGAGGAATGAGAGGATTAAAAAGAAGGAAAAACATGTATCTCCAATTAAAAAGAAATTATCTCTTTGTTAGATGATTAGCTTTTCAGTATACGTGTTCAGTAATAATGCACTTTGATATATTTCTGCAGACGATGTCTGTTTATCTTGAAATTTTCAGTTACGAAGGTTGGACACGTCACGTTATCAAATCACGCTAGTACGATGCAGTCGTGTTGTGACTTAGGGAAAGAGTAAACGATTGATACCTTTCTGCAAAAAAAAAAGCAATGTTCATAATGTTTTTTCTGAATTGTTGTAGCAGCAAAGGATATTGAAAGTATTTTGTAAATGAGATTCCGTAATTTCTCATCGCGCAACAGTCGCGCAATTGTAATTCTACATTCTGATGTTATGCTTCCAAGTTTTGAGAAACTTTTAGCATATATAATTGTAAACGGTATGCGAGATATATTGGATTCAAGCACTGTATACTCGCGAGGTATAAAGTAACGCATACCGCCGTACCTCAAGAGAATTCTAGAACGTATATACGTATACATATATATATGTATATATTCATATATATATATATTTTAATACTTCTTTCCCCAAATCCTTCAATTATTGAGGCTGTGTTTATTTTATTGCAAGCGATATTTCATGCGCGAAGTAATCTCTAAACGACGAAGTTCCCACCAGGCAATTAAAAGTAAATATCACTGCTTAGTATACTAAGTTCTATGGTACAATTAAGGGGGATCTTGTATACACAGAGACATTATTTGAAGTTTCACGCGGGCACGAAATGGATTTCGAATAAGACCGACGGTTTACTCGTGACATTCGCGTAAGCTACAAAGAAAGCACAGATATTTTCTTTCGGAAACTGGTTTTTCCGAAATCTGGAGGCCCAAGAAAAGGCCAAAGTTCCAGTCAATCTGATTCTTAAATCCGCCACCGAGCTTCTACTCAACTGTGGTAGTTTATGTAAAAAATAAAACTCGAAATTTGTAATGAGTAATTTTCGATGTAGTTTTTCAACACACTAAGTAACTTACGTCGGATAATCGCCTCAATGCATTCTGACCTTCGAGACGCGCGAAAGGTATATGCACATCGCCTCAGGTACATATGCCAGTAACTTAAGTTTAAGGGAGGACACATCTTAGGAATCAGTGCATTTCTGTAGGGCATTCCTAATCTCTCCTGCTCATGAGAAAACCAGGTTCGTCACCGGTTTTAACGGAGTTGGAAGAATTTGCGTCCAAGTCACTCGAAAATGATATATGAAGGCGTTACTTTCAAATTTTATTCTTTCTTTATTTGTAGTGCAAAGTTCTTAAGACATTATGAAAATTTAAAAGAGAATTTAATTAATGCGCTATTTTGCCAGCACTAAAAACATTTGTCATAAAAGTTATAGATTGGACTTTTTTAAGATCTTATTTTTTTGTAAAAGTGCTTGTTAATATATCTTTGTTTCATTGTATTATAGCTCTTGATGAGATAAAGCTTTTAATGTAAAAGCGCTGTAATTCTTGGTGGATCTTTTTTCATTTTTTCATTTTTGTTAGTTTATTTCTTAACTTATCTATATATAATGTTGAAATTACAGTTTTTGTTAATTCTATTTTAATAATGGTTTTTTTATTTTTTAAATCTAAAATAAATGTATTATTAAAGTAACGCTTTCAAATATCGGAAATTGGTTTGATTGTCAAGCAGACTCCGTCGTCACTATTACATACAAAAATCTGAAAGATAATGGTTCCTGCACGTTACATTTTTGCTGGCATTAGAGCAATATTAGCCCTTCAAATTTTTTACATAGATACTTTTCTACATGAGGATGTTGGGCCTGTGCATTCGTATGAAAACGCATCTAGCTATACATTGCTAGTAATAACTCGTGCGCTAAATTGGATTCCGAATTGAATCAGCACTGTTTCTATTATCTTACAGATCTCAGATATATATTGAAAGTTATTTTTGTAAAAAAAAAAAAAAAAAAAGAAATGCATTCACATTCCCGAGCCAAAATGGCCTGACACTGTAACTACCTTTCATCTACTACTATATGTATCGTTCATTGAGCATAATTGAAGTTAATATGAGTGTATACAAATGAATGTTATTTTTGGTGTAATAATTAACTGCAAGAGTTACGGTAATTAATAGCTCGTGGCTATTATGGGAGTAAATTGATATATAACTAAGGAAATATATATATTTGACGTTAATGTAATAACAATATTCTACTATTACACTGTTGTCTGTTGTATGTTTACTGGGTGCGTGTGCCCGAGAAATTTAATCAAATATTATATGTGTATATTATATAAATTATTATTTTATATTCATCGTTGTATATATATTTTAACTAATTTTCATTAGAAACGCAATGTATTTTACTTAATTATAAGTAATCCATTGTCATTTAAGCAGGTCATTTACATTCCATGCAGATAACTTCGTCTCTTATTTCAAATTTGTTTAATGATATAAAACAAAAATGTAGCCTTGTTCAAATTAAAGTGAACGAAAAGTAATTTTTACATTTATATGTATTTATTATACAAGGATTTATAGTGTTTATATATATATTATATTACAATATTTTTTATTAAATACTTAAAAAATTTGTAATAAATACTATAAATCCTTTTATATAATAACTTATGTATCTAAAAACTATTTCTTGTTCACATTTGCATAAACTATACCTATATATGCGTTGTATACATTTATACGTTGGGATATTATATCTGCCATGGCAATAGTAATAATTCAGTTTCTATTATCTGAACATGTAACAGTCGTTTTTAATTTTTTCCCTATATTGCAGACACTTTAATTCATTTACGTACTTCTGGTGTAAAATCGATAATAAAATCTGGAGAATCTATCCCTTCGAATTTTGTATTATCGATGTATATTATAAAATATGTATTATGTATCTCTTGAAAACATGTTCGTTTAATAAGGAATATTTATGTATATATGCTTTACGACAAAATGAAATTAAAAAATACGTAAAAGCCCTAAATACATATCATTTTATCTTAGTCCCGAACAGTCAATATGTATGTCGAATAACTTTATCTTGGTCAGTTGTAATGAATAATTGAGCATAAATAAATAAATTGTTAAGATATTAAAATTTTATATAATTGCATGAGTTCAACTAGTAAATTGCCGGAGATGCACTGAAAATATATTTAAAGATACTGTTTATTGTTTTTGCACAAAATCTAACATTTTTGTACTTTTTGTAAATGTAAGATATAATGTAACTGTTGTAATCCGTTAATTATATAAATTTATATTTTTTTAAATGTTTTGTAATATGGAAGGACATATATAGTACATTTAAATGATGAATATAAATTGTATAAAAATGTATTTATTTTTACAATTGAGCAACCGAGCTGCAAAACATAGATACACGTGCAAACTTATTTTATCTTAAGTTTTTAATCGCATTTACCGAAATTATTAGTGCATCAAAAAATGTTTTATATTCACCATTGTCATAATTAATTATATATAACTGTAATATTTTCAATCTCTTTTCTTGTTTGATTAATTATTATCGAGATTATTTTCATAATTTTATAAGCAGCATGTCCCACTGCTTATTATACATTAGATAATCAAATCGATAATCTGTTTAGAACAATTTACCACTTTGTTTGACATATTCAGGTCAGTTGTGCTTTCTGATAGAGTTCTAAGAACATTTAAAGCAGTTTCAGATTGTCGCACAGCGCTAATTAGTTCATTACGATTACTGGGATCTGGAGTAGCGGCTAATAATGTTCCTAGTCCAACCAGAGCTCTGAACATTGCTTCGGGTTCATTTAAACGAGGCAATATAGTAAATAATACATTTAGAGCTCTCGTTCTACCAGGTGCATCGTTATATTTATTAAGCGCTACGATCAAATTCAATATATAAGTTGATATTGCAACCTGTAATGTAACATCACAATCTGTAAGCTCGTCTATCTGCAAATCTTATACCGTTTCCGGTTTTTCATATAAAAAAATATCATTTTATATTAAAATAATTAATATAAAATTGAGAATTGTACTTATGATTATTTTATAAATATTTTTTTAATAATAATTAGAAATTATAAATATTTGTGCGATTTAAATTTACATTAAGCTTTCTTTTGATTTTAATTATTATTTTAATAATTGATGTGACATACCTGATTATTTTTATTTCCAAGAGATTGTAGATCCAGTAGAGACGTGAGTATTTCATCCTTATGATCTAAACAGAGTTTCTCTCCCTTTTCATGCTGGAACATATTAGCTATCAGACGAAAAGTAAGCATTTGATTCGACAAAGCTGCGTCGGATTTGATATGCCTTCGTATGATCGATAACAATTCTTCGGTACACAGTTGATCGTTTACTTCTTTGTGAAGTACAGCGAGCCTCGCTATATCGAGAGCTGGGAACACTGCATGGTTGGGCCAATCTAGAGAACTCTTTAGTGCGCTGATAGTGCTGGCTGTGATTTCTTCAGACACTTGATTATTCATAAATTTTTCTATCGCATTCAGCTTCTCTTCTGATATTTTAAATATATTTTCTTGTTTATTATTCAACTCATATAATTTTTCTGTAATTAATTTTATAAATGTTTATAACTGATAAAGAGTAAAAATTATGTTGCATTTTTCCATTACATCTAATTTTAAATAAATCTTAATTACCGAGAATAGCAGATAAATTTGCTTGTTCTAACTTTAAATACTTCGAGTGAGGTATATAAGAGGGAGACGCAGATGTATTGGAAGAATTAAATGCCGATGATTGTGCACTAACATCGGGTGCACAAGACGATGCATTAGACGATGTACCTGATCCAGGAACATATCGACTTCCACCTGTAAAAGGATCTACATATTGCGACCCAGTATTTAAAATTGGAGATGGTTCAGAATTCTTTACTATAAAGTTTGCAACCTGAAATACATAATTTTTTTTCAGATTTGCGATTTTCAAATTATTTTTTAATACAAACAATAAATAAAATGTAAAAGATTATATTTACTTTTCAAAATGTATACCTGATCTAAGAATAATTGACTGAGATTATTGTCATGAAGGAACTTCTGCGCGACATGCCAGGGATCTTGGCCTTTATTGTATGGAAGTTTTAAAGGAGGCACACCGTCTTGTATGTCGACTGAAAAGACGTAATCGTATTCTATGCCATTGTAAAGTTGTTTTCCAGAGGTAGCCGCCGTACCGCCGGACGCACCCATCACATCACCAATTTTTATCCATCGTTGCTCGCTTTGCGACCAACTGTACGCTCTAACTCCATCCCCTTCGTTTACAATCTTCGTTTGGCCATCTCTTTGACCAGGCTGTAGAAGAACCCTTGAATCTGGCAAACTGGTACACAATAAAAACTAATTATAATTGATTACAAATTAAAATAGCAATACAATATATACATGACAAATTATTTTATCCAAAACGAAGTATACTTACTCCTTTATGTTGATGTCTCCGATTATCTGCTGTGCATTTAGAGTTGTGTTCGCTACTTCTTTCTCAAATGTTTCCAAAGTCTCTCTATTTGCATATCGTTCGGGGTCAGATGAGAATATCCTAATGGCTCCATCGGAACTTCCAGCGACTATGTCGCCGTTCGAGAACAAATCAATGCACCATATCGATTGTGTAGGTAGAACAATGGTTTGTTTCAGTTCAGCATTGTACCATATCCTAATAGTTCTGTCTTCTCCAGATGAATAGACATATGTACCATTCGGGATGGCTACTATACTATAGATATAATTCTCGTGGCCACAATAAGTGCCTAAACAAGTCCCAAGTTTAGCATTCCAGTGTCTTATAGTGGCATCGTTCGCACAAGATAGGAATTCATCCTCTTTAATGTCAATTATGTCGCGGACACAGTCAGTATGACCTGCCAATTTGTGTTGCACCGAACCGTCTCTTGACCATACTATTATTAATTTGTCGGCTGATCCACTTATTATACTACCGCTCGATAAATCTGCTACACACCATACTGCGGCAGTGTGACCCACGAGGTTCACCTGTGGTTTACTCAAGTCTTTCACATCCCATAATTTAGCAGTGAGATCCCAAGAACTCGAAAGGAATGTACCTTCCTTTTTTCCAGTCTTTAAATTACATACATTATTTTGATGCGCTGTTAGTGTATGCGCAGGTACAGTTTCATTCGCTACATAGACACATATGGTGTTGTCATTGCTGCCGGTGATGATATAACCTTTGGGATCTCTCTCCGATGGATTTATAACACACACTGAATTGACAAAGTTAGAGTGGCCTGTTAACGTCGCGATCTGCTCGTACTCGTTGTTCTTCCTGCAAAAATTCTAGGTTTCAATAAGACATCTTGAGCATAGAGTTTTATTAGTTCTTCAAAGTTGACATCAGCTTTCTAATATAGCTACTGATATTGAGTCTGTATGACCTATTTAATATTAAAAGTCATTGATGTAATATTGGGTCATCTAAAAAGTATCCGTGGTTTTTTGTCACTAGATGGTGTTGATGGTCAACTGCGGATACTTTTTAGATGACCCAATATAAAGATTATAATTGAATGGATCCAACAGATCTATATAGCAAATTTTATTCTGGAAACATCTTGAGGCCATAGGTCATCTGGACATTTTTGGAACATTCTTTGAAGATCTGTGCTAAATGGACAGACAACTGTTTTGGAGGACATAATTGAATGAGAGTCCAATAGACCTATCAGCTCCAGAAGGTTAATCCAAAGCAAAAAATGACTTGCAATATATCAATATCCAATTGAAAATCCTATCCATATGCGAGCATGCTTAATCCTTCATGGCTTTCAAAGACTTTCAAGATAACTTTTTAGTTTTAAATTGTTGTGCTTCAAATTTAGACACATATAAAAAAGTAAAAACGTGGATCGTATTATTGTAAAATCTTATGAATGTTGAAAGAATAAACAGAAATTTTTTCAGATTTTTTAAAGTCCAAAAACCCTTTGAAAAACATAATCAGGTATATCATTGACTTGGTTAGGTTAGGAAAGCAGTGAAAAAAATTGGATCAAGGAGGGTTAACTTTACATACACAGAGAAACGTGTTTCTCTCTCTCTCTCTCTCTCTCTCTCTCTCTCTCTCAAGGGCTAAAAGGGATTGAAAACTACACAAGAAGAGGCTGACGAATTTGGATCACTTATGCGTGTTCCCGTGGGAGAATCTACATGCATTACCAACCCGGTTGGTTTCCATACACGCGCTGTCTTGTCTCGGGAGACTGAAACGACGGTGCCGTCGAGGAAAGTCGCCACCGCTCTCACATCCGCGCTGTGACCAAGTAGCACACTACTGAGTTTGTACGGCGGTTTGTCCATGCTGATAATACCTGTCGGTTTCTTTGGAATCAATTTCAATAAATTTTGCGAATTTATACAAATTAACACGAATCACGAGCAGGTTGGAGCAGCTCGTCTCGCCGAGAGCTCCACCAAACTCCACAGTTCACAATCCACTCCACTGCGCTGCGATCGGCCGCGATGACAACGCAATCCAACTCCGAGTTGCGCATGCGCACATCGTACAAATTGCGGTGTTTAATTTCGCGACCGCGCTTTTATTTTTGAATCCCAAAACAACATATTCCTTTAAGAATTAAATGTTTTCTATATCGTCTCTGTTGTGTTATGTTCGCTCGTGGATTTTTCATCGGCGCGTGGAAGTGGAAGGAAAGTTGCGCATCGCGGAAAATCCGTTGTGAGGCGCATGCGCAGTCGCCATCTTAGGATCGCGTCGTTCGAAGTTAGTTCCGCACTTCTGCGCACTTCTCTACGTTTCGCTGTGCTTTCGCACATCGAAAAATCACGTCGCGCTTGTAAGAAGAGAAGCTTGTACATCACGAGAATCAAAGAAGGTATCCTCGCAAGGTATCGATAATACTGAGCATAATTTAGATTCTAAGATGTTATATGAGGCGAATTGTTCTTTGTATTGGGATCGATGTTGGGATTGTGTGTCTTGAAATGAGGTGAAAATTACAAAAGTGAGCAAATTCATTAGAACATTTATAATTTAAATTTTAATTAGTCAATAACTAGTGAATTTATACAATCGACTCCCTGATTCTCGATATGGTTTAACGAAGTATAATATTTGCGAAAATGGTCTAATTTCTACTGAAAATATGCTTGACTGCATTCAATTCATTTCCGCTTTGGTCTACAAAAGTCTCTACTTTCAAGGAAATATTTGATCACCAAAGAGGAATCGAATTGAGGATTTCGGTAAAAATATTTGACCAATAGTCGCGATCAGCAGATTATATATTGCGATTAATATGCGTTCTTTGACTATAATTATATATATCAAAATATAAAAAATTTGAATGCGCAGGAAAGGAATGCTGAAAGCGTGCAGTGTGATGTTGGACGAACAATAGGACAACATATAAGTGAGTATGTTTTTTTTGAAAACAATTTTGAAATTTCGCTGTGCGCGTAATAGACCTTCGTGACGCAACTAGTTTGAGCATCGACGCGAAGTTGTCGCTGTATCGTACCGCGACTTTCATTTGAAAGTTTCGCAACAGTCGATGCAAATGTTAACAATGATGAATATTGAGACAATATACGTAGGCTATGTTCCAAAATTCACTGCCAGTGCTGAAAATGTATAATACACATAACGTAAATTATAGGTTTTTAGCGCGTGAAACACAGCAAGAGATAATGTTTAAGTGTTCGATAAGCTAATTTTCAAAGATAATCGATTTGACAACGTATTCGATATCATAACTGCTCGGATATTTTGGCGGAAAGTCGCGTCGTTCCGAGTCTTTGTTTAAAAAAATGCACATAATGTCGATACAATTGGAAATACATTGGACGAACGAGACAACACTTAAGTGACAATATGCGATAATAAACTGTTTTTTGGAGCTAATTGATTTCGTGTAATTTGATAATCGATATTGTGATGATCAATATTTTGGCGCGAAATTTCGACAATTGTCGTCACATCATCTCGAGTCTTTCATTATTTAATTTTTAAAATGCGCATGATGATGACACAATTAGAAATGTGATGGACAAACAATAAGGTAATGCATAAATGCGCGATGATAAGCTGTTTTTTAAGATAATTCATTTCGACGTATGTAATCTTTCGCGGGACGATGGTTTGAGTATCGACGCGAAGTTGCCGCTATTCACGTTTGTTTGCAAGTATTTCGTCGCGTTGGGAGTGCCAAAGTTCAGTTCGGATTACGAGGGTGTAAGGAACTTTGTGATTGCAGCGTGATTTCGCATCGTCGTCGGCCGGATATCAGCAGCAAATCACCTTCGTTGGAGAACCACTACCTGTGAGAGAATCGGGCAATCATCTCATTATCTCGTCGTCCTCTTAAAGAACATCATGGCGGTGTGGTGAAGCTGCAAGGTATCGGAATTGCAAGGTACGGTGATTACTGCAATGCTAAAAGGTAAGTGATCCTATAAAACACACACTTTATCATAGAGATATCCTGGACATGTCTTATAAACAGGGTTACCAGTCGTACTTTTTCAAAAGTCTACATAGCATAAAATATTTCAAATATATTTCCAAAATATTTCATTACAGGATTTGAAATATTTCTAAAATATGAATATGAGGTAATCAGAAGTTAAAAAAAATTTTTTTTTCAATATTTGTACAATATTTCTGAAATATTTTTGTAAAACACTTTAATGTGATATTTTAAAACGTTTTACAAATGTTTACAAAAAAATATTTTTGAAATATTTTATTAAAATATTTTAAAAAACTGTTTACATAAATATTTCATACTGTATGGGACAGAACGTGTACTTTTTTGAAGTCATAAAACTTCTGCGGCTATTAATTAAAATTTTGTATTTATAAAGTTATATTAATAAGAATTACCAATAAAAATTGTGTTCAAGAAATTTTATTTTATTAAAAATCTATATTTGATGCAAAGAAATTATATCTCGTCCTACTTCTAGATCATTATTTATACTTTTTTTTTTAAAGTATATATATATATTTTTTTTTCTTGTGATTCAGATATGGTAACCTTACCCTATGGACATCTTTAGGAAGTCTATACTATATGGGATAGCGTTAAGTGCTCCTCCACGATATTTTTTAATTTTTATGGGCGCCAGTTTGCCAGTCAGGTTGAAAATTATTTGCTTTACATTCTGGAAGAAGTGCGATATCTTCTAAATGGGAAACGTGTGAAAATACAATTTCATATTTACATGAAGTTTTTTCTGTATTAAATTCTTACATTCAACAAAAATACCTTATAAGGTACTATATCTTTACTTAAATTTATAGTAAATTAATTCTGATTACTTACGGCCATTGTAATATAAATACAAAAAATGTGTGCAAGAAAGGATGTGGCGCAAAAAAAAATGTAATGTATATACGGATGCAAGAGATAATATAATGGAAAGCGCAATGAAAATTACAAACATTGTGTTTCAATCGCTCGCAGTTAAATAGCTACGCTTAATACTTGATTCTAAGTAACTTCGTAATTTTCTAACGACTAATGATCTTACATGAGAACATACAACCAAAAAATTATCGCGCTGAATTCGCTACTATACGACTATATACGAAAATTCATATGTATTATAGAATATTGGGGATCGATTATTCCTTTGAGTTTGATAATTTAGATAATAATTACGAATTCTTTTAATGTTGCATAACGTCACAGTCTTTCCAATGAATCCGATTTTAAGGAAGAAAACGCACAACAAAAAATTGATTTTTTTTAGCTTAATTTAATTATTACATAGATTTGTTTGATTAAAAATTTAATTTCACTGCTATTTAACTGCTATTTGATAATACTATAAAATAATACTCAACATAAAATAGTTGTGACAAATGATAACTTTCAATATTTATTAGAAAAAACTTATTAAAAGAGGATACAATTTTTTTGCTTATTCAGTCATCTAAAAACTAATTCAAAGAGAGTTGAATCAACAATTTTGAATTAGTTTTTAAATGATTGAAACAGAACTGACGGCAATTTCGTAACTATATGTGACTAAGAATTTTGTTAACTTTATCTTAAATGTACTAATTTTTCCTTGAGCGGCATTATCATAATGTCATTATTATAATTTTCGATTTTCATAAAGAAATACAAGGAAATGTAGAAATAAAACGATCTTCGAACATCGTGAAAAAGTGAAAAAGTTGTATCCTCTTTCATTGAAAAATATTCATGCCGATTCTATTCATATTTCTTTCTCGTTATTGATTTTGCGGATCATTCTATATAGTGTACTACATTGGTATTCATCTCAGTGTCAATAAAATACTTTAAAATTTATTCTAAGAAGCAAATTTAACAAAGCTGTCAACAATTAAAAAAAAAGGATAAAAAACGAATTCTTAATAAAACTGCCAACATTTATCCATAAAAATCTTTAAACTTGAAACTACATTAGAGCACTCTAGACAGAGTTTAACTTAATTTTTTCCGTAATAATCTAAAACCTTTGACAAATATTGCCATTGGCATAGGAATCACTAATGCTTTAGTATTAAAAATAGTTAAGCAATCAAACTTGTATAACTTTGTATAACTAATTAATTTTCAAATCCGACGTTATTTCAATTTCTTTCTATTTACATGTATATGCGTCCCGCGACATACTTCTTATAAAAATTTACCAAAGACAATACATAATATATATATCCCACATGTCTAAGGTCAGGCAGGTCGATTCGATCTCCATAGATTTCCTCGTGGAGAATGCTTTCTTTTTGCATACTCTGTATTATGCGAAATTTCAGTTCTTGCTTTCGAGTAGCGTTCACTGATAAAATATTCTCTGCTGCGGCAATGTCGCTATGGCAGGATACTGTAAGAGGGGAACAAGGGCTACCTCCATATACTGTTGGCATGAGATCGACGACTCCATTGGATTTATTAACCTCAGAAGCGACAATATAAATGCTTGGAAATTGCAGAAATATATAAAAAAAATAAATTATTATTTCAAATAAATAATTAATTTTATAAATATGATAAAGCAGCTTAGTATCTGAAATTAAATGCTATCCTCTTTTTTAAAATGCAAAAATGTCATGCATTTGAACACGTCTCTAATACTGAGCCGCTAAGAATATAATTGGTTCAATACAATTGGTTCAACGAAGCATCAAGCATGCAGAATTGTAACTTCTAAGGTTAAAAACGAAGTCAGCCGGTGTCGTTCACACATATTTTTCCGACACCTGAGATCTACCACACGGTACATTTCTTCTCGGGGTTCATTCTGGAGCCAATCGGGCAATTAAAATCGTGCGAGAACTCCTCCATGTTCGACAACGGTCCTCGAACGCGGAATTCGCCTGGGCTGTGGAAGCCCGTCGTAATTCGCAGCTTCAGTGCTTCCGGTCGATACTTGCTGCACCAAGAATTAGCTGCACTTATCCAGAACAATTGTTCTGGGCTGTACGGCAGACCCGGTAATCTCTTCTCCGGCTTGTTTCGTTTGACCCATTCTTTGTATGCATAATAGGCCTCCTTTATGCCACCATTATCCGCGATATTCTCACCTTGTGTGTTTATCCCATTTAGCTGTAAAAACGTAACACATATTATGACAAAGTTTCAACTAGATAATTTTTTATATAAAGAGAATTCGATATTATTTTTATGGGGGATCTTAAAATGTTAATTTACTTTTATATACACCTTAAAAATTGTACAAATGTTTGCGATTCGTTATTAATTAATGTATTATACTGATTAAATCGCAAAATGAATAACTTAACAATTATGTTGATCATTCAATTGCTTTGCACATTTTAATTTCTCCAATAAACCATTATTTTTCGCGTAACTACAATAAAAATTCATGGTCTTTTAAAGATATTACATATTTTTCTGAATGTTTTCTGAAGTCATTCTTCTGCTTAATTTTGAACATTATGAAACTTCTGTTATCATTATTATTATTCTTATCGCTCATGAATATTCTAACATTCTTATAATACTGCTACATAATGAATAAACATTGACTTGAACGATAACAGCTTGATAAAAAATCACTTTTTTTTCTTTTTGAAATGCTGCAGTATAGATCTCGAATTTTTTGGCGCTGAACACGATTGTTAGAATTTGCGTAGCACATCAGGATTTTAAATTGATTTTAAATTGAGATGAAATGGACTAAAAATGATATTTTTGGCTATTTTGAATATTTTTTTACGGGAAAAAATTTATATATATATATGAACATTTTATTTTATATATAATTATATATAATTGTATATAAAATATGTCAATTTTATAGAATGTCATTTTTTATAGAATTATATATAATTTTATATAATTTTATATAATTACAATTGTATATGAAACATTTTTCCTGGATTTACAAAACAAAACTTTATTTCTCTAAATAAATTGACTGATCATGAATTTTAATTCATTTCAAAGCTCTTGAATTGTATTTTTAGACCGTAGACTTTATTTATAGAAATAAGTTTTTGTCTTTTCCGTCAGAAATATATAAAAAATTCATGTAGCATGAAAATAAACTTAATAAATATATATAAGATATAATCTTACGTTCAATCCAACTTCTTTCACGGAATAATTTCCATACTGATAAATTATACATTCAGCTCTCTTGAGATAACGCTTCTTCGTCTCTGGCTCCCACCAGTCAACGAGATTACCTTCCTTATTAAATTGTCTACCTTGATCGTCAAAGCCGTGGGTAATCTCATGGCCAATAACAAAGCCGATGCCACCATAGTTCATGTAATGTGGCCGATCATTGTTGAAAAATATGCCTTGCAAAATACCCGCAGGGAATTCTATGAAAAATTCAAAAATTCAGTATACAGCTAAAGAATGAGGAATTAAATTAATATAATTGTATAGATTTTATTATTTAAGTATACTCCAATCACTGAAATTGTAAACATAATAACCTAATAATTCCTTTACTGATATTTACGAGATTATTTATACTTACGAATACTGTTCTCAATCGACGAGTAAAACGCATTGACGACAGCTGGCCTTCCATGACTTATCCATTCTGTCTTATTCACTGGCTTTCTCAGCCTGCCAAATGAAAAATTCGTCCCAAAGATAGATAAGTTAAAAATGCTTCCCACATAATCATCAGCACTTAATTCAAGTCCCTGATAAAATTCTTCAAGTTTCCTATCGTCCAACAATTCATTTGGATAGGCAATATGTGAAGTCATATCGGCTGCTTTTTCTAAAGCATTTTTTCTGGTCTTTTCATCCATCCACTCCACCTAAAAACGTGTAATTTCGTCAAAAATCTACTAACATTTCTAAATACATGACAGAGATTTTTAGAATTAATATCTTTAACATATATTTCTTAAGAATAAATATAGGTAACTAAATTCTCATTTCCTAGATTCTAATTTATTAATAAGGACATGTGACTTATATTTTTTCATCTTGTTTCTATAATTTTAATTTATTGTAATTTTTAGATAAAAAGAAAAATATTTAAAGAGAGGAAAGATTTTTATTTTATTTATAAAATTTCAATCCTAGATATAAGAAGTATCGATCGCAAGGTTTTTATTTCTTTTACAATCTTAAATTTAAATTTTATATTCTCTTACCTTCTTCAGGATCTTTGTGAATTCCTGCCTGATATCATCGACCATTTCGAGCGCAGTTTTTTTCGCATCTTCCTTAAAATACTTTCTTACGTACATCGAGCCGACGCTAATTGCCATGCTGCCAGAAACAATATCAACGCATTCTTTCCATCTGGGTTCTCTCTCTGTTTTGCCATTTAACTCCACTGTATATTTCAGTTGTCTCTTACGGATGTCATCCGTTAGATAGCTGATCGACGCAGCAGTTGCTCTCCAAAGTGCATAGTTTGCCTGCACTCTCTTCGGCGTGATGCTGATTAGTTTTTCGAAAGCCTTTAGATAGCTAGGCACATTCACAATAACTATCTCGTCCTGAGTTAGTTGTGCTTGCGGTGACAGGATGGTATTAAAGTATTCCCACCACGGTATACTAGGGTAGGCTAGGGACAGCTCATTCACAGTCATAGGATTGTAGAGGAGGGTCACGTTGCGTCGTTTTTCATTGGGCAGAGAGATCTGTGTGCATATTTATCCATTTAATCAATTAATCTATTTAATCAATCGACCGATGATTTAAAAAAATAATTTTATCAAACACTATTTAAAATTATTTTATATCAATACAAAGGCTGACTTACATTTGCGAGCTTGATTTCAAATTCAAGTGATTCTTTTAATTCTGTGCGGGCTTGGTCAGGATTGGCTCCAAGAATTATAGCAATGTCTACCATGTATTTGTAATATGCCTGGACGATTTTCTCATTGAAACCTTTCGACAGATATTCGCGCGAAAGTCCGAGCGCTGCTTGATCGAGCTATTAAAAATTATCAATTTTTATTTGCGTGTACTAGTTGAAAACAAATATCGTGTTCGTTTAGAAAAGCACCTATATTATTTTACTCAATATTATTTCATTTTACATATGATTATGTATTTATAAATTGTAATCTTCGTTCTGCATTTGTCGTGGATCTCGTATTCCCGGGATAAATAGTTACGTGCTTACGTCGATCAAACGCCTAGAGTTGTTCTTCAAGTCGACACTGACGCCGAAATCGATGAAGTAATCAACTGAATAGCCCAGTCTCCGGAATTTGTAGACAGAATCTTTCCAAGTGAAGTCGCCGACTTTCCATCTCTCACCTTCCAGAACGGGCCAGCCACCGAGATTTTTTAGATTGTTCAGTAATGGTGTCAAACCTCTCGCCTCGATAGCGGCTGAAAAAAAAGTATAATTGAATGAAAAAGAATGAAAAAGAGATAAAATTTTTATTTCAATTTGTATTATATTTTTATTATTTTTTCTTTGGCGTTATATATTGATTTTAAAAATAAGAATTTGCAATGCAATTATTCTTCTAACACATTACGTATTAAAGTATTTCAATTATAGATAATTTTTTCCGGAAGATATATGTATAGTAAGATCGAACACTTCAAACGATTCGTAAAATAAATCAATAAGATTTATAATTTTGCTATGATTTCATTAATTATTTTGCTATGGATTCATTAAAAGAATGCATTCTTTAAATTTAACGACTTATATGGAATTTCATGTCCCGGCTGCTTACTTTTGTTCATGCAGGCCTTGTAGAAGTCTTTGGCAAGCCTAAACGATCTCAGTTCGTTTGGAGGACTTTCTTCTTCGATACTGAGTCGCAATTGTTCCTCGAGATCATCAACGATAGTAGAGAACGCAGTCACGCTAGTTTTATCGTCGGGGATAATTGTGGATTCTAGGAATCCACCGCAGGCGAATTTGTAAAAGTCATCACAGGGCTCCACATTAGGATCCATATTTTTTATTACATTAGAGGCTGCGATACATATGTTGAACAGATTAGTTTAATTTAATATCTTCAGATTAGGAATTTCTTAGTTTTTTAATAAAATAATTTATAAAATTAATTTCTCTCGTATAAAATATATTTTGAAGTTTACACTTTGATGAAATATCTTTGGTAAGCAAATATTTTCTAACAAATCAATGATTGAATTTTGTGTTATTGATAAAAGCAACTTTTATATAGAGATAAAAATATTCGTTTTATTTATTGACAAAATTTCCGATTGTTAAACATACATACATGAATAAATATTACCGAAAAGAAAAATACCGACTCAAATGAAAATCAGTATGATATCTCAATATTAAATATATAATTTATTTTCTTTTACAAATATATAACTATTTATTTTTTTATTCAGGTAGATACAGAATATATGATTGAAATTATTTATTCAAATTTTATTTTAAATTCTCTGTCTTTAATGTTTTAAAGCCACATAAAATAGAATTCTTTTTTAATGTTTTAAAAATGTATCGATATCCATCTATTAGTCTTATGATGATACAAATCTTACTAAAAAAAATATATTTAAATAGACAAAAAATTTAAGCCGTATTATATTTACTGACCTGTGTGAATGCATTCAGATGTTAAACAGACATCATTGCATTTCGCCAGTGTTATGTTCTTCGGTATATCCAAACCGTTTAACGCCTGGGCTGTGGATGGTAGCATCTCTACGTTAACAGTATCTGTTCTCGTGCGGATGCAGGTGTGATTGCAGGTGTGATTGCAGGTGCGAAAAAAAAATGCATAACAGCAACAAATTAATGAATGTGAAGCATCGGAGCAAGCCGTGATAAAATTTAAACTGCATACACAATGAAGTTTGATATCGTTTCTTTCGCAAGTTGCTAGCATATGTATATTGTGTTGTATGTGTTATATAATTAGATCTATTATCAATTCACTTTATCAAAAAATGAAAAATGAAAAATGAATCTCTTCCTCTTTTTTTCCAGAAAATTCCGCAGCGTATTTTTAAAAGAAGATCTAATTCTCTTGTAATGACAAAATTTGATAAATTATTTATATCTATATAGTCACTATTATATATAATGATACGACAACGGAAATCAATTCTACAGAAAATAAAAAACAACATTTGAATTTTCTAAATCGGATGCAAAAACTACATTGCACATTCAGAAACGATTTATTCCGTTCTTTTGTCTTTAAAATATTTTTATTACGAAAGACGAATGCATGAATTCTTAAAAGATTATCTTTTAACTGATTAAATTAATTGATTAGATTGAAATAAGTTTTATAATAGCGTTTCTCTCTCTTTCTTTCTCTTTCTTTCTTCTTTTCAATCCAATCGTATTTACGTAAAGATTGCACGATGTTTTACCAATTATTATTCTTTGTCGGATTGCGTGTGTAATCACTACACATGTGAAAGGCAACATCTACCAAAGACAATATCAAATCGAGCTGTGACTCATTTCGTATTCTCCGTCAATTTTTTAAAAACATTCCAAAAATATCTTGAATGCGTCAGTAATGACGCTATCGTAAGCTCGATGCCAAATCGACGCGCAATCAAAATATTAGATCAGGGGGGAGGGAGTTGTAAACTGATGTGATTACGTTTAACGGGCTTGTCACTATAATACGAACACGCGTAGCGAGTGAATAATTCTCAAAATATTTGTTCACTAGAAATATCAAAATGCATCAGAATTACCCTTTTATTGACGTCACTTCGATTTGCACGTCATGAATTTCGCGGTTAAATTCATATAAAAACGTAAGGCAATGTGACGTAAGCAATAAGGAAATCGAAAACATTGGATTCACTATTGACTTTTGGTTTCTATCGTGATTGGCCAATTCACTTATTGTTTACCTACATCTTACTGTTTTACGTTTTTATGTATGCCATGGATGTTATCTTTTTAAGCTAATGTTACTTCTTCCTGGATTTAATTAATTTGAGACACGTCATTGTAATATACATTGAAATATACGTTATTAATCAAATGATAGAGATTTTTCCTCTCACTGCTGAAATGAAGGAAAAAAAACATTGCTGAAAACTTCACTGATTCAGTAAATTTATAGTAATGTATCGTAATATACGGACAGTCAATTTTCTATGTTAAAATAGCAAAGTTGATAGCTGAATAACATTGGCGATTTGTTAAACCATCAAATCTTCTTAGCTATCGAATTTGTTGAATTTGCGTAGTAAATTATAAATTTGCTGTACCATCCAATTAATTTTTTCCGTACTTGTAATCCAATGCGGAAGTATTTTTGTAATGTAATTTTCTTTTTTACGTTTAATGAGCGGGTGGAGCATTTTTATATGAGGCGCCGATGTAGAAATAAAATTTACGATGACCGCGCTGCAATTACGCGTCTTACTTTCGCACAGTTAAAATTTTTACGATGCGGATACGTACCGTTACCGAACGGCTTCGATCGTAAACATATTCATCGTTTGTTGCATTAAAAAACATCTTTGGATCTTTCTTTCGAGATGTCAAAGAAAAACGACACGTGGATTCGTAAGAACCATGATAAAATAATCATGACGATACTTTCTGGCATCAAAATAAATTTTGTTTTTTTATTAGCAAAACTTTTATTACGCATTCCACATTCTTCCTTCAAATAGCATTTAATTTGTAAATGAATAATTTATTTTTTATCAACGATAAGACACGTAATAGGGATAATTCGACTATTTCAATGTATTAGAAATTATTATATGTTTATAAATTTCTATAATAAATCATTTATCATTCTACGAACTGAAGCTAAAAGTGAAAATTTTTTTATCGTACTAGATTCGCGAAATTAACATGCCATATTTTTAGTTTTAACTTTTTCATATAAAAAAGGCGGGACTTTTTTTTTATTTTGCTAAGGATTAACATAAAAAAAATAATCATGGTTCTAGGACTACTTTCATAGCTCTACAAATATTCATAAAAATAAAGAAGTTATACTAAAAAACTAAAACTGAAAAAGTAACAGCCGAAATTCTATTTAAAAATAATTATACAGTATAGAATTTTGTTAGAACTAACAAGAAATGCCAATGAAATTAGATAAATTTTACGTTTTTTTTCCAAGTATGTACATTTAAAATTTATTAAAATTGATAATTGTTGAAATTTTGTTTTCAAATGTTATATCGATACAACTCGAACAATACTAATGGGAATCTTTTAATGATATAAAGTTTTTGTATTTGTTATGTCATACAGGAGTTGAAAGCAGTTATTTAAAGGATTAAATCTAGATTTTTGCAAGTTGCATATCGCGTAAGCTATTACAAAAGTCTGTCGCTGCCATATTGCGAGGAATTATGATTTGCTCATTACTAGTAATTTTGCTTCAGGCATTAAATGCAATTGGATGATGTTAAGTAATGTCTTTGTCGCAACCGGAGATTAACGTACGTCTTAAGATGTCGATGTATGATACTTAGTTGTTGCAGGTGCAAGAGAGATTTACAAATTTAGATGGGAATACATATAGATAAAATGAGATATTCCTTTTAAAAACTTTAATGTTACAAGAACTTCATTAAAGTAAAAGAAACAAGTGCTATCAATATTATTCATATTTTATGCAATTGAAAAAATCGAATACTTTTTAAAAGTAAAATCTGACAAGATTTTATTAAGCTAAATCAAATCCTGCACAGAAATGTGCATCATATAGTCATAGCCTTTCACAAACAAATACGAAACACATTATACGCTTAGATCTTCTTTATTATTGCGCGTTTAACATTATAATTTTATTTTGTAAAATAATTGTGAGAAAAACAAAACAAAATTACATTATTTAATTTATATTAAAAGTTTAAAAGTTAAAATGTTAGAGATATTCAGAATCATAAATTGATTTATAAATATTTTCTTTACTGTTTACTTTTGAAATTCAAGAAATATATTTGAATCATTCTGTATATCTTTCTGTACATCATTTCTAAATAAAAGCATATAACAAAAGCAACATTCAATATTTTGATGATTCAGTTTTGAAATAAAGAAGATCTAAGCGATTCATAAAAAGTAACACGTGAGTGAGGTCTTTTTGATTTCAATCAAAATAATTTTCATAAAAAAAGAAAAATGCTGGTCTCGCTTCTGTGCTTCTCAGACAATACTGCATACTTGCAACATGCATGGTGAACGGTTTATGTTGCACTATAGGTCACTATAAAAGTAAGCACTCTTACCAGACTTGATGTTGCATGTCGTGTTGGCCGCCAAAATTCCGATGGCGACCGCCAAAGCGATGCACAAGAGGAACCCGGAAACCGCTATCACCGTTAATCCGCGTTCCAAACCGGACCGCCTCTTCCACCATGTCGGGTTTCTGCATGAAAATCGTAAAATGAAAGAAACGACAAAATAAAAAATATCACATTATCCTTAAATTACATCCCTAAAAGTTTAATCACATATCACATATAATTAAAAAAATATATATGATAAGCTATTTTAAAAATATTAAATCAATAACAGGGTATTCTTCATTTTCCTCCAGATAATATTTTTACCCTGACTTGTAAAATATTTAGGTCCAGTTCCACAACTCACAGTTAACTCTTAACCCAGGTGCAACTTCCAATTCTAGAATTGGAAAGAGATGAGAAACAAATTGAACCTTGGTTAATGTGTAATATTTAAAACTGAAGAGGAAGGATTTGCTTAATTCTCATATTTTATAAACTTAATTTTATCACACTTTTAAATTAAGAATTTCCCAATTATTTGAACGTATTGCACGTGTCGACAGTTGCAGAGATATTGTTGCGACTTACTTTAAGTAGTATGCTTTGTAACACGAACTGCAAAATTCTCTCGCTGTAATCCTCACGATAATTATGCATCGTATTTCCAAGTTTAATCGCACGTGAAACAATGTTCGTCATCTACGTATATTCTCTATGTATAAATAATGTATTGTACTATCGAATCCTATATTCTATACTATCATCTCTATGCATATTACGAAGAAATATATGTACATCTGAACATGAAATATAAGGAACCGTACATCGTTTACATAATGTAAATAAGGGTATTACGAAAAGATCAGTTATTTCTTGCCGTTTGCCTAACAAGAACATAGGATATCATTGCATATGCTCAAAGATACCGTACTTTTTTTTTATTTTTCATCAATTTCGCGAATGAAATTGATTCTTCATGCGCTTTTATATCGCGTATCTATACACGTGTGCATGTGTGCTGTCGATGCGCAGTAAAATGCCATTTGGATCTAAAGCACATCGGAATTTATGGATCGCTTTTCCTATCCGGCGAAAGAATTGCCGTTTTTCTCGGTGGAGAATTCGCGTAGCGAACGAAAGGCAAACCGCAGTCGGATTTTTATCTTCGTCCCAGCCGCGCGCCATTTCTGCGTTTTATGTTTACGATCATGTCATGAGATCGTGGCGCATTAACTTCCTCGCATAATCGGCTATCGAGACCTTGTCCGAGAACGCGATGAGAAGTACAAACAGACTAAAATCGAGTGTACACAAAAATGTTGCGATGCCGCTTCAAGCGTCAAGATTCTTGCAAAATTTTTGCATTTAGATAAAAAAATAAAATAATACAGTAATTTCTATAATAATAGTAGTACTATTTATGTAAGTACTTTTTAATCTTTCGAAGCTACGAATTCGTAATATTAATTTTAAATTTTTCTGTTCTTCTCATATCTTTTTTTAAATAGTTGCGCAAAGTACAGATTTCACCGATGACGTAACAGCAAGAACAAAATAACAATCGACTTGATCAAAAGTTATAATTTATTATTGAATTTATTTTTCTTATTACACGGTTATTTATATAACTTACTACATTTATATTTATATAACTTACTATGTTTCCCGGATTTAAAAACCAATCGTAGTTTTAACTGATTGTTTTCTAAATCATAATATCAATTCAGAAAGAAAATTTATATCGGCAATCGGAATGTACAGTCATTGATTGTATTTACGCAAGAAATGATCAATATGCAGTAGCAGTTATTGATTTTTGCCCTGTGTGTTTTTATCTCGCAAACAATGCGCGCGTAAATACATCGAGTGTAGATACTTATAGAATAATAGAGATGGCATAATGGCATAACTTATAGCGCGCGTAATGCAACGACGAGTGTATTGACCTCATCAAGAAGCAACGACATACGCCGAAGCATCCTCTGTTGTGTAATATCAGAGTCAATGCCGCGTATCGTCCGCATCTGATGCCCGACCTTGACCCTTACAGTATAAACGAATTTATGAATTTAATACAAGAGATCGTGGTCCGTATTTGTTCCATATTTGTCGCGTCACTAAGCAATTTTATATATTTATCAATTAATAGAAATAATTCTACCTTCAGTTAAAGCGGATTTTAATGCTTAATAATACTAAATACACATTTTTGCCAATATACACTGTTAAAAATAAAATGTTAATTTTAACTTAAAGATGTATAGTGGACAGACTTTCTGACGTTTAGAGACTTTTAACATATTATTTTGTATGTCTCAAAAAGTCGATTATACACCTTTCAGTTAAAATTAACATTTTATTTTTAATAGTGTATTATTTTAGTTTTTTAAACTGCGCGCCGATAAGATTTATCTGGAATGTAATCACAAACTGAAGGTGAAATTCATTTCAAATTAAATTGATCGTCCATTTCAATAGGATTTAATAAGTGAAGCTAATAAGCATCTTAAAAATCTGTAAATAATTGCAAAAAATTAATATATTTACATGCCGTAAGTAAAGAAGAGAAAACTTGATATTTGTTTTGAGATTGAGATGTTAAAAAAGTTATTTCTAGGAAATGAGGAAAAATTGTACATTATTGCTCCGTCTAACAGTTGAATCAGGAAAAGATAAGGTCGTGGGTAATTTTTATTAGTTCACTATTCGATCGTTATTGTATACGTATGTTTCAAAATAACTGCATATCAAAATATCAACAAAGTGGAAGATTGTGGAAAAGCGATAGAGTATGATTATCCTCTGATTTCGCGGTATTTACCCCCAGGGCTCGGCGAGAAATTGCGGTCCGTATTCCATATTTGTCGCGCCACTAACCAAGCAATCAAGCCTCATCGTCGGATCGCGATGGATTGATCGGCGAGGCGACTATATGCGAAATTAACGTACATATAAGATCATATCTATATCTCAATTGAGTTGATAGCAATATCCGCGTTATAGAATATTCTGGTCTATGAGTTTAATGACTTAACGTGTGTAATTACTGTGTTAACAAAAAAAAGAGTACAATATTCAATAGTTTGCATCAATATTACATTTAAGGAGATTACAAATATATATATATTTTTCAAGTAGTGAAACATTAAACCGCATTAAACCGTTTAATAACGTTTCTATAAATTTACACTTAGTACATTCCTTTATATAATTTGCGAATTTATTCCGGTTTCGACGTCTCACAGGGATAAAAGTGACAAAAACTCACCGAGTAGTCGAAGTCATTATAGTAGAAGATATAATTATTTTTCTAGACACGCCGATGTCGTCGACATGTACATTTTTGCAAATAACCACCTGACGACATTGACGAATTGAAAATAACTATACTTTTAGCAATCCTGCGATAAACTTTGATGCTGTATACACTGTATGCGTAATCGTGCAAAGTAAGAAATGGTTGATTCTTCAAATTACATTTCCTTGGATTCAAATTTTTCCTCAGGATGTATTTCTTTTCACGTATTTATAAAAAAGGCCCAAAATACTACGTTCAGTAAAAAATATATTTTCAATTTAATTAAATAGAACTATTTAAGATATTAGAACTTCCAGACCCGACTTTTCATTTTCTCGTGGTTAGATTTAACCTGATGATAATGTAAAAATTATATTTTTCTAGTTATAGTTAATCACTAAACTGATGATTTTGTAGTGAATAATTTTTAAAATTATCACTACACAATTCAAATTCATGTTGATAACAAATATGTTTATTTATCTATTACAGCAAAATTAATGATAATTATAAGCTTTAAACTAAGCTTGTTTAATAAGAAGACAATGGCCAAAAATTGATAAGAATATACATGTATATTGTAGTTGTGAAAATCTTTGATAACAACTGACTCGCCTCGGTGAAACGTGTATTTCTTCCACTTTTCTACCAGGCTTCAGTTGGCAACAGTCAATCGTAAAACTATTAGTTTAGTGATTAATCATAACTAGAAAAATACAATTTTTACATTATTAAGTTAAGTGAGGTGTCGTTAAACCATAAATTAACTAGATAATTAAAAATCCGGTCTAAATCAGTTTATAAATTTGTACGTCGTGATCACCTATATACATAATTTTAATAATATAATTACCGAGTGTAATTTTTAAGTTCTCTGGAAAAGTGAGAAGATAATCTTAGAACAGAGTGGTTTCTACTAAAATGACTGCCACCATTCTCATTGTTGTGTATAATCAGCGCCCTGCCTCTCGTCGCATAGAAAATCGATTCGCGTGGTATATTAAGTGTTATCGGAACACCCCGTTGCCCTCCATCGAGCATGCTATCCTCGCGGATACGTTCACCGGTGCACGTGACGGCCCCGACAGAGTACCGCGACCGCGAAACTGTGTCGCCACAGGACCGACGGAAAGGCAAAACGGCGCGAACTGCATCGTAATGAAGAGACGCACGAGCAAGAAAGACGCGCGTGACATCGCCTTCACGTGCCATGACCTGGCGCCTCTTAATCGTCTTCCTGACCCTCTTCCCTCTATACGTTAGAATACTGTACCGTCTACATTGTGTCGCTTGACGCAACGTTAATTCCGGAATTGAAGTGAGCCACAATGAATGCGTCCGCGTTTACCTCTTCAATCGTATAAATAATTACTCCTTTGTTAGAAATGGGAACACGGCGCTGTTAAATATTAATCAATATTAATTAATGATAGAATTGACACTTTCTTACTAAATTAGTCACACTGAAAAAAGAGTCTAGTAGTACCAAATGAATGGTATAACGTCAATCAAATAATTAGTTAATATAATAAAAAATAATATTTTTTAAATATTATATTTAGTAATTATTACAAAACAGTTAGTTATAATGTTATAGTATTTTATAATAATTATAACTACTAAATTATTTATATTTTTTAATTTATTAAATTATTACATATATTTATATAGATAAGTAAAATTATTTTTTATTGTATTAATCGAACATTTGATTGAAATTGTTTCACTTAATATTTGGTAGTTTCTACTTTCTTATTTTAGTGCGTAATTTTTTCATGTTTTGTAATTTTCTCTTTGGGAAATATCTTGATTCAGTTTGTAATCATCGTAAAAATTATTTTA